TTATGCAACGCGTCAGTTCGATAGCCAGTGACCGTAGGAATACCCAGCCACGGATTCTCCGGGAATCCCCCTTTTCTCGTCTCCTTTCGCAGCGACGCACCGCCGCCGACTGTTTTTCTGATCAATATTCATTTCAGTGAGAGAAATTCAGTAAACGGCCGCGAGTCTCGATAACTTCCAATCTTGGATTCCTTTATCGCTCGTCCAACTTTTCAGGGCAGACAGCGCGGGCTCCGGTTACACGATAATTAAAGTCGCGACGGGTCTTCGGAACTACTAATGATATCCTCCTCGTGTTACCGAAGATTGTCTCCCTGGGAACTCCTACCGCGGATACACGAGAAGAAATTGACGGAAATGCGAGATGTTCGATGGCGGTGGCTCGCGTGCCGTCGTTACAAGCAAACTGTCCCAATTATCGACACGTTTCGCCCAGTCGAGTCGTGATCTAGAATTACGTAACAGCTACCTTGTTCTCCGATAAAGAGAACAAAAACGCCCAAATGCCCGCTTAATCGAAGTCTGTTAGGAAAAAATGTTGGAAATGGAACGACAGGTGTGGCGTTTCGTTTATACGATCGAATCGTCAGATGCATTCTTCTCGTGTGCAAACGGTACGTACAGTCGGTCTCGTTAGTATTTGCACCTATAGAAGAATTTTGTTTAAATTAAATGATAGGCTTCATGTTTCCAAATAAACGAAGCTTATTCGTGTAGGTGCGTACTTGCAATGAAACATTCATTTGGAAACATCGGAAAACTTGATCGTGGTCCTCTGAGAATCCTTTCCAGAACTTTATCTTAACAACGATATCCTTCTTTATGTAACGGGAAGTAAAGATGGAAGAAACGAAAAATAACGCGACGCGCCATCATCTTCGAGAGCATCGTTACGTCGGGGAAGCCCGGATGAGTTACAGGGGTTGTAACCGTCTGATGACAGGGGGAGAAAGAGTGAGGCGAGAAGGGATGAGGGGAATCACGAAAGCGCAGAAGATAAAGATAGCGAACGTCCGAGAGTTAAAAGAGATCGCAAAATGAAAAGGAGAGAACGCGAGACGCGTCGACCACGAAGGACTCGCAGGAAGAAGAGATCAAGGGTGGATTAAGACTGCCTAAGCCTCCGGGCCGCAGGTTTCGCGATAGACCCTCTGTGATATTCCTAAAAGAGAAACTGTGATTTCGATTTATAATTCAGACTGTGATCTATCAAATTTTTATCTAAACGAACGAAGTATGCGCAGAAGTTCTCGAAGAAGTACCCGTCTCTCTGATCTGCGTGGCACCGAGACAACATCATCCCTCCTTCCATCCCTTGAAGCTCCGTGGCTTGATCCAACGCTGAAAAGGGCCGAGTGAAAACTAAAGTCATTCGTAAAATAGAAAGAAAGGGGGTTCGCGAAAGACGAGATAAAACGATCGAGGAAGAAGTCGCGAAGAGGGTTAAATTAAATAGGGTAAGAAGAAGAGGGAGACAATAACGAAGGGAAAAGGAAACCGCGAGGTACAATTAGGGAGAAGAGACGAGACCTGTGCGTGGAGGAGAGGCAGAGAAACGTGACAAAGAGAAGAGTCCAGAAGAAGGGTGGAGGGGGTCCAAGATGGAGTAAGAGCAGGAAACAGAAAGAGAAAGAGAGATGGAGGGTAGGGGGCAGACAGACTATTATAGAGACTGAAAAAGAAGGAACAAGCAAGGAAGAAAAAGAGAACAGAGTGACGGACAGAGAGCGAGAAGGAGGGATAGGAGGGGACGACGTGACGCGTGGCATCACGTGGTGTATTGATCGTCGCGCAGCATCCACGAGAGCCATTCCGGCTGCCAACCTTCCTACCTACCCCAAGCACCTACCCCTTTCCCTCATCCCATCGACAAACCCCACCCCACTTTCCTCCAGACCACCATTCTCCTCTGACCTCCTCCTACTTCGCCCTCCCGAGCGCTATATTCCTGCAACAAACCACCCCCCGGACCCCTGCACGCGCCGAGGGCCCCCACTACCCCCTGCGAAACCCCGTCAGACATCCATCGTCGTGTATCCAGCGAGTTAATTATTAAATGCATCGTCGTGCCTGCCAGGCCCTGCGATACGTCCCATCCACCCCCGCGAACCCTCCTCAACCCGTCTCTCTCCCTTGGCACTCCCCGACCATCCCTCGAAACCGTCCTCTACCATATACCGTCGATTCACGTGCAGTGCATCTTCCCGGTAAATGCTCCAAGGGCTCTATCGAGAACTTTCGATTATCGAGCGTCGCCGGAATCGATCGCAGTAAAAGGAAGAAACACGTCCAGGGGGCGCTGAGGGCACGTTGACTCGATGGTAGCGATAGTTGAAAGGGGCTGATTTTTTGAGGGCCGTTGTACGAAAGTTGAGCGAGATTATATTTTTGAAAAACGGAGGATCTGGATGGAATGCTTGGAAAATATTTTGATTTCTTATCGAGGAAAGGGGATGTTTTATTGTTACAGTGGCGGGATGAATTTTTACTTTCTCTTGGATATGGTACGAAAGTGATTGTGTTACGAAGGGGTGTGAAGTTTATATTTTTGGAAATGGGGTCGATTATGTTACGGGAGTGGAAGAAGCTTCATTTTTACAGAGGGTGGGCAGGAGGTGGAAGCTACACGAACGTGTGGAATTAAATTGAGATTTAATAAATTCATACTCAAAGGACAAATTTGATCAACTACCCGACAACAATCGGGCAGTAAATAACAATATCTGGAGAAATTAAGAGGAACGATGAAACCTGAGCTTCGATTAATATCAATGTTGCAATTTTCGACGAGCTACTATCCGAGAAGAGGCGATTGTGCCGCGCGACATGTTTTCTATTTTAAATTGCTCTCACAGGCTTTCTTACGCGCGGAGATCAATTTTTGATCCTCGAGGTCTCTAATACCTCCTAATGGTCCCGTAACGTAATTGCCTCAGCAAAAGCTTTCGATCGACTATAACCTTCCAGCATTTTCGCCGTGACGTTGACTGGAGAGATTTTGTCCAACTACATAGCGGGTAAGCGGCATGATAAACTGCGAAGCACGACGAACACGTCGATCCATTTAATAATTACCTTACCACGCTTGCTTCGCTGGCAAGTCAACCGTGAAAATTCGTTGGCGGTTATTTAATAACTTCGAAATAGATTAATAATTTCCGTTCAAAAAGTACTAACCGGATATTTGGATATTTTGCCAGTTGGACACTTGAAGAATCGAACTCCTAGACTCTCGAGTATAAAACATCCACATTTTCTAAAATACAAGGGCGGTTTCCTCCCCAGAAATCGAAACGAAGCGGAACATGGTTCGCAGGTATGGACGAACGAACGATTGTGCAATGTTTCAGGAAAATTGACGCGTGACAATTCTGAGCAAGAACGCTGCCAGCTGCTCGAGCCGTGTTTCGTCCCGGCTTTCCTCATATATAACACGTTTTCATTTAAACGACGTCGACAATAACGCGCGAAACAGACGTCAGAAGCAGGTCACCGAGTCGCATGTACGCTTAGGAGACCCAATCAAATTGCCTCGGCGTTGCTTTGCGCCGCATTGCCAAGAACGTTATTCACCTGACGCAGAGAATTGCCAAAATGTTGTGCTGACTGTCACGTCGAACGAACCCGTACTGGAACTCGTGATTTTTCATCGTTGGCCCGCCTCGCGATCGATTTCAACATTGGCGATGAAGATCTAAGCACACCTAGACGCTTAGATATTCAGACGCTTGGAGAAAGAAAGAGGAAGGATAAACATGGCGCGATGGCCACTGAAAATTTACGAAATGCGAGAAATAAAAGTGAGTATCAGGGGGTGGGTGGGTTGGTGGGGGGGGGGGGGGAGGGAGGGAATCTGGGAGAGCAAGGAGATGTATTTGCTCCGCGAAAGGGCTTTTCGACGGCAGCGTCTTCGAGATACTCGGTCAACAAGCGGAGCAAGTCTAAGTCCCTTCTTCTTTTGACGCCTACGTCGGCGAAGGCGTTGCTCTAAGCCGCTATCAGTCGCTTCTTTCCTTGCTCGAGAACGCTGTCGCGGCTTTATCCTCTTATTTAGACGTCGAGTAGACCGTCCTATGCGGGGGATAAAAAATGTAAAAGGTGGAACTTAACAGGCTCACATTATTTCCCAAAACTGCGTCTCGTTTGTAGCGGTGGTACAGGGCATGGTGGAATCGGTGGGTGTGCCGAAATTTTGCACAAGTATTTATTTGGAGTGCTAGACGTTACTCGGTTGAGAGCTTAAAGCCTGATTTCTACCGATGGTATCTGAACTTTCGTTCTCTCAGCTTCGCGTAACTTGGTATCAAATTTGAGACAGTATTCGAGGATGTAAAGCCTGATTCCCACTGGGAGGGTCCAAGTTCTATCAAAACCTCCGTTCCTTTAGCTTCTTTCATTCCGATACCACGTACAACATCGTGTTGGAGTGCTTGAAGCCTGATTCCCACTAACTCTGAGCGCTTAAACCCTCATTTCCGTTAACATTGTACGAGTTCTATTCAAACCTCGGCTTTCTTAACTCGCTACATCTTGATACTACGTCCAACACTGTGTCCAAGTGTCTAAAGCCTGATTCCCACCGAGAGTGTCCTAGTTATATCAAACCCTTGGTTCTATCAGCTTCCTAAATCCTGACCTCATCCTCGAAACCTTCCCAAACGCTAGCTTAACGATCCTTTACCGCACCTCCATCGTCAAAAGAACGAAACAAAGAAACTTGGATGCAATTCGCTTCGAAACACCAGGTTCTCGCGTTGCTTTCGCGAACCTAAAGGAACAAACCCCCGGTGCCTGTCCGTTCATCCCTGTCCAGACGAAGGATCCAGCCCCTGTTCCCTTATCTTCGAGAAGCAAGAAATTAAGCCAGATGGCGGGATAGGAGGAGGGGGGGGGGTGGTGGTGGATAAGTGGAGAAACAGAAAACAGAGGAGTCGGATTCGCGGAAAAAGGAGGACAAAGACGAACAGGAAGAAGAGGGAAACAGCGAAAGGAGTACTCACCCCCTCAGGCCGAAAGCCCTCTTTGCCAGCTCCAGCTTGAAGACACTCGGTCAACAAGCGGCAGAAGCCCGAGTCTTGGCCGTTTTCCTCTGGCGCGTACAACGGGGGAAGGTCGTTACACCTGAGGACGGTGTCACTTCTCGGCTTCACTCTAACGCGACACTATCACGTTTCTCGAGTCGCACGGCTGGCTTGACCGTCGCGGGTAAACAACCGAAGTGAAGGGTACGTCACTTTCTCGATCGACGGAGGGGCCGGGTTCGTGCGGGCCGAAAATCGTGGGTATTCCCGCGAAACGACTCGCGATTCAGAGGTCGCGCCGCAGGTTCCCGGACTTCGGGGTACCGGAAAGAACGAGGATGCAAACCGACGACGAGGCGAGACGGCGATCGGGTGACTCCGTGTCCGCGACGAGGTTGAAGGAGACGACGAACGGTGCCCGAAGGAGGGAACCGTGGGGAAAAAGAAAGAGAGCGAGAGAGACGGGCTAAGTTTAGAATACCGTACAGGGGCCTAAAACGGAAGGGAAGATGGCGCGGAAGGTGCTAAACGACCGATAGACGAATACAATACACTCCGTACGAGCTTGGTTCCCTCTTCGCGATGCTGAGGACGGTGCAACGCGGGGGAGAGGGGAGGCGGGAATGATTTTAGATTCAGTGCCAGAAAAATCGTCGACCAATCGCGAAGGGGCCGCAGGACAAATCGAGATCGCCATCTCTCGGCCAACTGGGGCCATCGAATGACATTAATAGACCTTTCTCTCTCGGCGTCGATCGGGTCTCCTAATTGCCGGGAAATCGCTGTCGCTGATAGATTGAGGAACGGAAGGGACTGCCCGGGTTAACCTCTGCGATGACTTCTGCAGTGTTTCACTTCTGTGGTCGATCCAGGGGGCAGCAGCCTGGCTAGTCTCTTGGTCGTTTTATTAATTGGATGCGAGGTGATTCGACGAGAATCTTATTTTTGTAGGTGCAAGTATTTTACAAGTATTTTCAAGAGGTTTGCAATTTTTATTTTTCTTTTTTACTTTACTGTTCTTTAATGATTTAAAAAAAAATTTTGTAAAAAAAACAAGGGGAAACTGAACGGGGGATGGCCTGAAGAAAATTTGAATTAAAGGATCCACTCGGCCGACAATAACGCTAAACGATCCAGTTGCTTGGACATTTGGAACCATTAATCAACGCTCTTTGCAAACATTTGTCAGGGGTGAAGTCTACCGAAAGTATTTCACTCGTAGAAGCAGACAAAATGCCCCTCGGAAAAATAAATGTTCGCCGAAAATACAATTACCCTTAGAGGTCAACCCTCTTCAAACCTGCACGTGCATTCGCATTTGGAGGAAACAGAATTCTATCAATTTTAAAATTAAAAAATTCTAATAACTCGCGAATTGTAAAAAACAGATCCTGATAAACAATATTCCATATTTCCCGAGGCCATATTTTCCAAGCTTCCGAGGTCGCTAAAATGCACCTCGACCTGACGTACCGTTCGTTCGCCTAATAATTCAAGCGACAACAAAAAATTCGAAGCCGTGTAATCAAATTGCGCAGTTTATACGAACGCCATCGTTGGCCGAACGCATACGAGACGCTGTGTAAATAAGACGGGGGAAGCCCCGACGAAGCCGCTGAATTTTTCATATACCGATAATGGGATACACGCGAAATCTCTGGATGCATTCATTCCCGGTATGTGTAAATGTTTGCCCGCGGTGCACGGGACACCGTCGGATGTGCCGGCATTGAGGCGCAGATGACATTATCGGCTCTGGAATTTTCACTTATTGTTCGCCCCCGCGAGTGTACGTATGCACACAACGCGTGTACGTACTAGCATTGTCGATGGTTGAGCGTTATTATCGGTATTCATGTCGGTGCCCGTGCTCGTCCCGCGGATTTATATTTATGCAAGGACGACGTCGAATGCGTATTTCTAACTTCGTTTTTACGCTCGATCGTTAATGTCACGCCCAATCTCGTCGGCCTGGCAACAAGTAGGCAGCCCGATACAGGAAGGGGATGAATTCACATCGAACTCAACTCGAAAGGCTAAAAAGGTTGCTAACATGCGCTCGTTTTGTCGAATAGTGGTTTAACTAGGGGTGTAATTCTATTTAAAGAGGATTGAAAAGATGTTCTTTTGGTGAGAATAGCGAGGGAGGGGGTGCCTGGTTGGTAAGGTAGTGTATTTTGTTCGTAATGCAGTGCTCTCTGTCGGTATGGGTTGGTAACGTAGACTTCTAATGAATAGAAACGTGTACCGATAGGGTGTTCTGCGATACCAGTGCTGCGAGGTGTATTATCGATCAAACACTGATCTTACCGACTGAATCCTTAACTTTCTAACTCGATCTCGTATAACCTTCAACCTTTTTTCTTTCGTGACATTCTATTTTTCATTTACAACCCATATACTTTGTTGAGATCCATTTTTCTAGGCTCTGAGAAAGTCGCCCTATCGAACTAAACTGCCTATAATAACAATTTTACTACATTTTCTAATACTCGAAGACAGAGTTCCGAGCCAGGAACCGCAAACCTTGGAATAATTCCACGAGATTCCCATCGGTACCCGTGCAAGCGTAAACCGACACACGTGCTCTCCTCGAGGATATAAATTTTCCTATCCGGGCACCGAATTAGTTTGCGCACCACGGTCCATCGTTCCCATTTCCGTGGAGAAATGGTGAAAATCCTCGCGACCACGATGATCTCTCAATCGAGAGATTCTGATCGACCAACGGACAATACCACCACCAGCTTAACGAGCACGAATGGATCCCGCGAGGTACAGTGGTAACGAAGAGCTACAGAGGGCCAACGTGCGTATATATATATAGTCTGCCAGGATAGAGGGGAGGGTCGACGGATTAAAGGAAGATAACTGCATCGTAATCTCCAATCTGAAGTTCCCCTGGGGAAATACCAGAGGTAACCGCGACGTACGCGCGGAGAAAGGAATTGCATTCCAAAAAGCTTTCGCGAACCGTCTAAAAGCCTCCCCAACTGCTGTGCTTTTTTCCTACGGGTTGGTAATTTCCGCGTGTTCCTTCGCGTCTCGGATTTTCCATCGTTCCGACGAGGGTAATGGAGCAAGCGAACACCGCGCAGAAAGAAATACCAATCCCGGGGTCGACGGTTCGTAATCCTCGGACGCTCCGATAACGAAACCCTTAAAGCTAGCTTTAATTTGAAACGATTCGATTTTAAGATGCTCGAGACACATCCTACGAAATTAATAGGAAATTCGCGAAACGCATAAATTGCCATTCCACTCGCGGGATCCGCTGCATTTCAGACGATTATAATTGTTCCAGCTTTGCGTTCGTATCGCCAGGTGCATTTCGACCGACTCTTTGTTACGTACACCGCGCTATTTCGCGCATAGTTTACGGCCGAAAGTTATCCCATTTGCTCCTCTGTCGTGTACACAAGAACGACGTTTGAATTTTCGTCGATGCTTATACAATGATACAATGCGCATACCGGAGCGCGCTTACTCGCGGCCTGGTGCACTGTTGCAAACAGAAATTCGCTTGATAACCAAATTAGGCGGGTGGTGACTTGCATCGAGAGCCAAACGACTAATTTAGAGGTAAATTCTTCGGTACTGAATTAATTAGAGGCTGAGGAAAATAATGTACCGATATGCGATAAGTTTCACGCTTTCGTTTTCTGAAGTACAATACGAAGGTGAGAAGTCGAATAGTGGGTCTGACGGGTCACGGTATAATTTCCTTGATTGTGTTATCAAATTCTATATTATATACTATATTGTAGAATTCTATAATCTAGAAGACTGTATCGCAATTATTATTACAATTACAATGTATTGTAATTACCAATCGGACTCACTAGCCAACTTCTCATTTCCGCACAGTACTTTAGGTTTCTTCCAAAGCCCAAGTACCACTAAGCCTCCTTTTATTTTCTGTAAATTGTGTTTCTCTAAACGGAGCGAATGATCTCGAGACCTTTACCAAAAATTCCACGATCTTCTCCATTCTCGGATAACTCGCAAAATCTTAAATTAATTCTCGAGACGAGGAACGTAACGAGCGTAGACGTTCTCCGCGGGCTTTGTTTGTCTCCACCGGATAGTCGGAGGCGGAATAACCGAAAACGGGACAGAGGCGGAGAGGAAACGACAACACACAGTAGATGAGACAGGCCAAAGTGGCGTGAAAATAAACTCGAGCCAAGGAGCGCCACCGAGGAAGTTTATTGCATACGACCGATTTTCAGAACGGAGAACGACTGGAGGAACAAGTTACTCTCGAGTCGCTTTGGAAAGGAAAGAAATGGAACGTCGCTCACCGGCGCTGATTTCGGCTACCTCCGTTATAAAGGAACCTCTATCCAAATGTTTCGTTATCCTCGAAGGGGTGTTTCGTTAAAGTAGAAGGTAGGACGTTGGAAAATTTGTGAGACTTCTGGAATGTTAATAAATCTGTAATAGTAACATTTATATATTCAGAACGAATTCCAGTGAACTTCTCGATGAAATTAGTTTACTTTGTCTTGTTGGTAAGGCAGAGGAGTCTGTCGGTAAGGCTAGCTAACGTAGAACAACCCGCCGATAAAGCAAATTGCTCCGCTGAAAAAATAGATCACTCTGTCGATAAATGACTTCTACCTCGAAGTGATTCTCGCCAAGATCGAACCAAGACGCTACTTTTTACGGTGGAATCAGAAACATACTTGCTAAAAGGATTTCTAGGTCTCCTCCCCAGCTAGCTATTAAATCCTTTGTATCGGATCGGTTAACGATGGTCGACAAGAGAAATGAAACAACCCGAGGTCATTTCGAAACCGCTTTTACATCGAGTCTGTCCAAGTTCCCTGGAACTGGAGCAGCGTTCAGCAACTTTTGTTACGAAAGTTTTAATATCGCGTTACCGAAGGTAGGAGAGAGCGTCATAACACGTTCGAGGAAGTTCGTGATCTGACTGTGGATACACTTAGCAGATAGATTGCCGTCACCGTGGGTTCCTTGGCGTGGAAGCTTAGCCGCGAATCCGTGCAAATTGAGCCACGGGAGCCGCGTCTTAGGGAGCTCGTGTGTCTCCTCTTTGAAATTCCGAAATAGGCGCACCCGCGGCGCGCGAGACCGACCAAGTAAGTGAATCTCCCAGAGCTCAATCGATTATCCGCGCAGTTGTGCGACAAACGTGTTTGTCGCGATTACTATAACGGGCTGTCGCGTCTTCGATAACGCTCGTACAGAAAGTTAGAAAAATTTGAAAAAAAAAAACTTAGAACGTAGTCCTATTTCTCACAACGTAGAAACATTTCTGTGTTCGATGAGTAATTGTTCATCGTCTAGCTAGTCTTTTCCGAGAGGAAGACACAGGTAGTTTCCGGATCAGAGCTCTCTCCTGCAAGACTCGTTGGCGGGAGTCATAGGCTCCCGCCGCGTCTCTCTGTCAAATATTGTTCGAACGATCCTTCGTCTTTAGTTTTAGATTCTTTAGCTTTAGATTCGCAGGGACAACACCCAGGAGCCGTGGCCGGTATTAAGCCGGCAATTCATGCGGAAAATTGTATCCTAGAGGAAAAACTGTGAGCTACTATCGCATCGAAGATTCACCCGACATTTCAGCCTAGAAAAGTGTTTCCATACCGGAAAACTCTAGCAAATCAAAATTAATCGCGACCAGGCGATTCACGTAATTCCGAGTCACGTAAAACAGCGCTCCATCGACGGTAATTTTTCGAAATCGCGCAGAGGGCCAGATGGCGGCGCGGAAGTGGCTTAGAGTGCAACCGTGTAGCGGGGCGAGCCGTGTTTGGACTAAATCCCGCGGTACTCGGTGCTAAGAGCCATGGCGTGTCGGTCCTAATGGCGATGTTGACGAGTGAAATTTACCTGAAAATCCCGTTACCCGCCAAGTTTCGTCCGACGAGTGTTTCCGTGGTTTCTCGCAAGCGACGAGCCGCGACAACGGTCTGGCTTCAAATTGAATTGAGACCGCGTCGCGGAGAGAGAAAGGACAAGGTGAGACGAGAGAACGAGGTGCAGGTACTTCTTTCGAGGACGGTGAGCACCCGAACGAGTGCCCTGTTGACGTAGTATCGTGGCAGAGTGAAATTGAAATTGAATCTGCGGCACAATACCGCCCCGGTGCCACGGCTCGGCTGCAATATTCCGCCGCGTCTTCAAAAGGCCCGCCCTCTCTCGCGTTAATCTCTTTGCGCGGTGAAACGTGCTTCTTTCTTGCTATATTTTCTTTTTTTATTCTTAGAGTGGCAGCAAAGTTTCGGGTTTACGGGGCAGGTCGAACGGCGCGAGACCCATGCGCTAAATTCCCAACAGCCTTATCCGTGGCTTCGTTTAACGGTCCGCGACTCGACGCAGTCTCTTCGGGGTTTCGTTCCCTGGACCACGACTGGCTATTTAAACGGCGTGTGGCGTAGAAATTGCGACTTAAAATTATTCATTTTGTAGATTCGATTTCGTCTTTCGTTAATCTTCGTCGATATTCGTCAAAAATAACCCGAGAGAAATACGACTCGTCCAGACAAAAGTAAGAAACGTGGCCAGCCATGGAGCGACTCTATATCAACTATCCCTAACGTAGGCTAGTTCAATAAGCGAGGCATTTCAACAACAAAATATCCAGAACCTCCAGAGCCCTAGTTTCGATGGTTATTATTATTCGCAAGAATGGAGGCCAGCCGCAGCGCACTTCAAAACGACCTAACAGCGGTCCAACAGTAATTCCACTCGCCTGGTATGCTAGCTCGTAACTACCGCGCACGTCGCATGAATATCTTAGCGACTTTATCGCCGCAACGACGACGGCCCGCTGGAAATTGTATGAGGGACAACATTGCGCGGCGGAAAATGCTCTCGAATCGCAATTATT